TCTGCGAGCTGTTTCTTCGTCGGTTAGGCTTAGCAAATTCACCGCTGTGGGATGGACGATCTCGTGAAAGCACTGGGAATACTTCACACGTCGACTTTTCCTGTTAAGGTCGCAAAGGAATGTCGTCCCGTCCGTCGTAATCCTCGCACCATCGAATTCACAAGCACTTTGTAGAACCACACATCAATCGCCGTCCTGCCGTACCCGCACACCACCACAGACCACTGCCGGCCATCGTCAACAAAACCACGTGATCCCCGTCCAAGTACCACGTGACGCCTGCGCCGTTCCGCACTCCGACGGCTACAGACGGGGTGCCAGAGAGCGCTCTGAGAGGGAGAGGCGCCCTCGGAATGAACCACCTTATCAGGCCACAGCACTCTCTTTCAACCACCCGATCTCGCGCGCTCTGGAAAGAGCGCTCGAGAGCGCGCGGAAAGAACACGCGAATTCGCCATTGGTTATATTCGGCGTAATTTCAAGTCCGCTCCTTCTATCGTCTAAAGACTTCTCTATATTACTCATGTTCACCCTAAATTTGTATACGCCTCATCTATCTGGTATCTGCACCATTCAATTCTCACCAATGCAATAGAAGCAGTCCAAAACCGCTCAGCTCGTTTCATTCTTTCCGATTACTCCCGTTTTAGAGCTCAGCTCCTAGGGGCCCGTTTCCGGCTTGAGTGGCGTCGCCGTGTGCGTCGGCGTGGCCGTCGGCGTCGGCGTCACCGTCGGCGTCGGCGTAACCACGAGGTCATGTGACCCTCCCCCCCGAGGTCACTTGACTCCCCAGGTCACCTGACCCTCCGGGGTCCCATGACCCCCCAGGTCACGTAAACCTCCAGGTCTATTGACCCCCTGAGGTCACGTGACCCCCTGAGGTCACGTGACCGCCTGAGGTCACGTGACCGCGTAAGGTCACGGGACCCCTCTAAGGTCACGTGACCTCCTAAGTTCACGTGACCCCCCTCCCCCGAGGTCACGTGACCCCCTGACGTCACACGACACCCCCCTGAGGTCACGTGACCTCAGGGAGTCACCTATCCCCCAGTACCCTTCCATCCTCCTCTTCAACAGCTGCACCCTAACCGGCGTTACAGGGAATTGTAAACGGCTTTCATTTTTCCAATGTCACTGAAATTAAATCTCAATTAACCCTCCCTGCCCTTACTCTGAGTCGCCAAATTTCAAGGCTCTGCCTCCTGCATGAAGTATTACTCTCCCTCTTTAAATCAGCCTCCCCTTAGCCCACCCAACTATGTTTTTTCAAGACTGGACTACACATGCAAGATTCCCCGGCCTAAGACCAAATCTACAGCCCACCAGCATTCACTTCTACCCGAAACTATAGGGTGGTTCAAGTCACCAGACTCGATCTAAAATGGACCGTAAAAATCGACGCCTGCACGTAGCCATCTAAACTTTTCGTAAAAGGTGTACTTCACAGGTCGGTTTTTTCTTATAAAATTACAGAGCGTAGTTCTCTTTCAGTGAAAAATAGGGCCAAGAAACTTGCCAGGGTCTACGGCGGGCGGTGACCCAGACGACCAAGTTCAGTAGTGGACTGTGTAAGCCGTTCGTATTGATAGATGACGTCGGGAGCAGCGTCTGAAGGTGCAGCCGACCAGCGAAATGTAGCAGACGACACGCAGACGAAATCCGTTGGCAGCAAAAACGCCGCCGTTATGCAGACGCGTTTTTTTTGTTTTTTTTTACTTTAAGTTTTGCTTTTATTGTTCGGATTCATTTTTGAACCGAAGGTGCATTTCAAAAAGATTATATTAATTTTAATAAACCACGCTGGTCGCGAGCCGTCGCGATTAGGAGGTAGTGCCACCTATCAATACGAACCCCAAATACACCCCGCTACTGGACCCCTGTCGTCTGCGTTGCTGCCCGTCGTAGACCCTGGCAAGCTTCTTGCCCTTATTTTTTACAGAAACAGAGCTACGCTTTGTAATTTTACAAGAAAAAAACAGACCTGTGAAATACACCTTTGACGAAAAGTTTAGATGGCTACGTGTGGGCGTCAATTTTTACGGTCCATTTTAGATCGAGCCTGATTACTTGGACCACCCTATATTATGAACTGGAATAACCTTCCCGATAACATCGTCACCATCACAGATAACACCGAGTTTCGCCTCGCACTAATTCACTGCTCCCCTCTGTATTGCCCCTCGGGGCGCTGAGGGTATTTGTAAATAAATAAATAAACAAATTGTGGGACCAGCGGTTCTAGAAATGACAACACTAAAATTATGGTAGCATACAACTCGATATTATTTGCTTTGCTGAATTTAAACGCGCGTGAAACGACGCAACACAACGAAAAAAAAAAACGGGCGTTTAATAAGGAGAACCCAGCTGAGCCGGAAACGGGCTTGTGTCGTCCAGATCCAGCTTCTCAGCGTGCGCCCAAAGAATTAGGATCGCCGGATGTACCCACGAGGGTTCGAGACAAAAGGCGTTTCATCACGGCGCTGATGGCAAGTTTCGCCGCGTTTTCGGACTGGTCTTCTTGACTTCTGTGTACGCGCAAATGTGGGAGACCGTGGTTTCTATAACCGCAAGACGAGGCTAAAGATCGCTATAACCGCAAGACGAGGCTAAAGGAAGTAGTGGATAAGTGCGAGGCTAAACCATAACGGCGAAATATTGAGTGGTTCGAATTTGGCAAATGCATTTAACAGCTATTTCGTGAATATAGCTAATAGCTCTTACAATCCTGAAGCGTCAAATCACATTAGGTCAGTCTCGGAATCGCTATTTATCCACCCTACTGACGAAACTGAGGTTTGTTCTTCTATTTTGTCTCTTAATAATAATCACAGTCGTGATGCCGATGACTTGCAAATTAAACCTATAAAGTATGTAATAGAGATCATTGCTCCATGTCTAACATACATATTCAACCTCGCCCTATCATCTGGCACTTTTCCTAAAAAAATGCAAACTAATAAAGTTTTCGCGTTGTTTAAAGCAGGTAACAAAAATGAACTAGGGAACTACCGTCGTATATCTATACTTCCTGTGTTCTCAAAACTTCTAGAAAAAATAATTCACTCTCGTGTCGTTAATTTTTGTGATAAGAACTCTATAATTACTGATTGTCAATTCGGACTTCAAAAGAATAGGACAACCGAGACAGCGTTATTGGTTCAAAAGGAAGAAATACTTAAAAATTTCGAAGAAAAAACCTTAACGCTTGGGATATTTTTAGACTTCAGCAAAGCGTTTGACTGTATAAATCATTCCATCTTGTTAGATAAACTATATGCTTATGGCATTCGTGATCTTCCACATGCACTAATCAAATCTTCTTTAGAATATCGTACCCAGTTTGTGCAAATTAATAATGAGAAATCAATTTCATTAACATATCAGCTGGAGTGCCCCAAGGAAGTATTCGACCACCACTTTTTTTCTTAAAAATTAATGATATTTTGAACATTGATTCAGACTGTCAATATATAATCTACGCGAGTGACACGAGAACATTTGTTTCTGATATATCCGAAGAGGGCCTCATAAATGAAGCTAACGCATTTCTTTCAAAGTTAAGAGTAAGGTCTCAATCCAAATTGCCTGAATATAAATACTTCAAAAAGAAAAGCAATAGTGTTTGGCCCACGCGGTTCAAGTAACCGAGTTTATACTCCTCTAATTTCGGGTCTTCAACCATTGAATTTGTAAATAGCGTAAAAACTCTAGGAGTCATTTTTTTCCCAAGACATTTTCTGGACCAATCACGTGAAATATCTCTGCTCTGAATTAGGCAAAGCCGCAGGAATTATAAATAAGCCTAGGCACGTCCTTCCATCCAGCGTAAAAAAAAAAGTTTTGTACAATTCCTTATTTTATTCTCATTTATGTTACTGCACCCTTATCTGGGGTAATACGTCTTTCTCAAACTTACATATAATACACTTATTGCAAAAAAAAAAGTGCTCAGAATAAAAGGTAACCTTTCCTGCATACATCATACGCGGTCACTGTTATAATCATACAAGATTATCAATATACACCTAATCTATAACTATCGTTTAACGATGGCGTATAAATATTCGGCATAAGGACGCTCAAATATAATTCTTCAACTGTTTGATTTAAAAGAAAAAAGCGATTAATATTCATCGAGAAATCACCAGCCCTGGCGAATTCCGAAATCTAGGACGAACTGTGGAAAACAAAAAAATAAGTCATGTTTTGCCGTCTATTGTGAACGTATATTTTGTAAAAAACATAGATATTGTGCAATTTTCAAACAGCCAAATATTCTATTTGTTCATTTTATTTTATTTTTTGACCACTGTATTGTATGCACTCCGTCGTAGCTGCTGAATGGGGGGTCCGGAGCCTCGTCAAGCTGCATTTCTGCAGCTTTTTGTCCGGTCTCCCATTCACCACTTGTATTTGCGGTGAAAAATAAAGTTCGTATCGTATCGTAAATATTGTGTTCTCTTTGCGATAACTCAGCGGAATTCGACAATTTTGGGTGGAGATCATGCGATTTCTTTTCCCTTGCGCCAAGATAAACAGTACAAAAATACTACTCTTTTTAGGGTGAGCTCGTTAATATTGGTTAAACATTTTTTAAATGAACTACACGTAATTTGTTTATATAACCATACAAGCTGAAATTCTTCCAGCTATAAAATTGTCGCACTCCCCCTTTAAGGGCACGCAGAACATCGCCAACGAAATGCTGTATACCTCGCAGCGCAGGTTGGCCTTGAGCGGAACTATACATGTCTTTTTTTTCTATTAAGCAATCAAAGAGGAACAGGGGCGACTTTACATGAGAGGATGAACATGTAATTACGTTAATTAGGGATTTCATGATGCGAAATCAGCATACAATCTGCTGTTCCGAAAAACAATTATTTAAAGGACACTGTGTACAATTAATAATATTGAATATTATACTAAACGAAAGTTATAACCAGATTAGACAGCTCTTTTCTAAGAATGTGCAAACCACAAAAAAGAAACCTTACCTGTATTTCGGACTGCTTCGCACGATTGCTTCGTTGGGGTCACACATCGAGAAACCGAGATAACGTTCCCTGAGGTATTCTCCGACTTTCCGCATGGTTTGTTTACCCCGAGCTGTGAGATTCCCCAAGCCGTCTATCCACAAAGTGCTGTTTCCATTCAAGTCAGTGGGAAATGTCGTCAGGGGTGCTCTATCACCATGACGGAAAAGACCAACCACAAGGTCTAGGCCTTGAGGCACAGAAGCATTTTGCTGAGCTTGAGTGCAGAAGGACGGTGGCGACACCAGAAGAAGGCAAATGACTTGGAGCAACGAATGTACCATGGTTCTTTCCTGATTCTGGAAGGAATATATTGACGTATTTATCATTCAATCTAAAACGAGAGTTTGGGCATTCCGTATCCCCATGTGAATATAATATATATATATGCCAGAAGCACGAAATTCAATTTACTATACTTCCAGAATTTACGATGATGCCAGAAGCACGAAATCAAATTTCACCATGAGGATCGACGGGGACCTTACGTGCTGCACTCTCGACGTTGTCTACCTCCTTGAGTGTCGGGTGTGTCAGATGCAGTATGTGGGACAAACCATGACAGCCTTCAATAAAAGATTTAACAACCACCGATCCCATTCGACCAAATTACCCAGTCTTCCACTCTCTAAACACTTGGCACAAGCTGACCACTCATTTCACAAACTCTCTGTCATGCTCCTTCAATCCGGATTTAGATCAAACCTAGAACGGGAGCTCAAGGAAGCCCATCTCATATACAAACTTGACGCGGTCAAGTGTGGCATTAATGAGAGCCCGCGGGGAGACAGAGTTGCGTACAGCTCGTGTGAACGGCCAAATTGTCGCCCCTTCCGATCCCCCACCCTCTCTGCCCCCCTCTCGCTCTTTGTCTGGCAGATGTATTGTGAGCGGCGCCCTATGGCGGTTCTGGTCCGGTGTCGGACTTGAACGGGCATGGAAGCAAGTGTGCGGGACTCGCCTGTGGCGGTGCGGGCGGGAGTCGGCCCCAGATGCATCTCTCTGCCGGCCGCGTGTGGATTCTTGCCCTTGGGACCCTGCCATCGCGGTTCCGTCATCAGGGGAGGTTTTTCGGGGCTGGGGAGCGTTCCGCCGGTCGTAAATCTTAACTTCAAGTAAAATTGCTGTTGCCGTCCCTTTTGGGGGCATTTGTGTTATGTTGTGCATTCTGTCGCCCCTCTCATGTACTGCTTTCTCCTCTCCCTCTCCGAGTGAGAATCTCGGCCACCAGGTAACCCTATTCACTTTTATGTCACGCTTGAAGAAGGAGGGTCCACCTCCGAAACGTCCGATTAAACTATCCAAGTTTGTTTGAACCTCGGTGGCTCTTTTACTTATATGCGAACGCCTCGGCTCCCCACAACTTGAAGATGTCATTTATACATATATATATATATATATATACCAATCCTAGTGCAGCAAAATTCACAGAGTAGAGAACTCCATCAAGCAAGACTGACAGTCGCCATTTGGTGGGCACGAGGCATGTTAATGAATCTGATTCCTCGCCGGACGCTGATGCGGTACTCGTGTCCCATTAAAGCTCGGAGCACATGCCGAAACAATGGAACACTTGGGTAATTTTCGCAGTCGCCACAAGATGACCGTGCTTTTCAAAATGGTATAACATATTGAGCCAAGAAAGGTAAATATTTCATAAATGGTCGTACCTCGAATTCATCTTTCCTGCACAAAGCAATCACAAACAACTTTTAATTTGAAACCTTACAGGTTTTTTTTTATTCAATTACTTCTAGAGTATAGATATGTCATACCGCAGAAAGTGTAGCAACGAGAGCTATAGTTACATCCGCTCAATGACATAGCGCCCAATGCAACATTGCCAGCAGTGAAGGCCACTCCTTTAAGTTCAAAATTTCTGATGGGGTCAACATAGCAACCTGCATGCAAAGGGATCTTTGCTTTTCACCTCAAATACTAGAAATAAAAAGATGCTTAATGAGTGAATCATTTGATTACTGACCCCTAGAACAGCCACTAATGTATCTTCGTGCGAAAAGTATTTATTAGCATACCGGACAAATTTCGAAGGTCGTCACGGTCCAAGTACTCAGCCCTTCCCCCCCCCCCCCCCCCCAAAAAAAAAAATGTTTTTTTTTTTTTTTTTTAAGGGGGGGTTGTTTTAATTAGAATTTTTTTAAAGAGAGAGAGAGAGACAGACAGAATTACATCGGCGTCAATAGTGCACAGTCTACTAACAGCCACTAATGCGCTACTTTCAGTTTTCCGCGTTCTGCTGAATGCTGGTGGTTGCTACCGGAAAGCCACAGGGCTTCATATTTGCTCTCGCTACTCAACGTGGCAGGTCATCCTCACGGATCTCTCACCGTCGTTGCCCTGTACCTACCAAGCGCCATTCCAAGCGTCTCAAGCGACACCATCGTCTCCGTTGAAAGAGTTCTTTGGAGACACGGACCATCCCTCTAACGTCTCGCCTGTGCTACTTTCAGGTTAGTCTCACCTTGGATTTTATAGAGAAAAAAACACTGATTGCTGTTGCTGCTGCTGCTGCTAAACATCAGTTTATTTTTAATCGTTTCTTGCCTTGCCATCTTGTTCTTTATGATTGCGTAGGATGCCGATGTTCGTGTTCAAAATGTCGAACCGCTGTCGACAGCGATGAAAATGTGTTGACGTGTTCAAAATGCGACTGTTTTTAACGCATGAGCAATTGCTCTGGCGTATCTGAGACAACATATAAATCTGAAAAGGACGTTACACATTGTGGCGGTTCCCACGTTGCAAACCAACGAAATCAATGGGGTGGTGGGAGGAGGGAGTGGGGAGGGGGCAGCGAAGATTACACTGGAACTTAATTAGCGTGCTTACTTACGGATAGAAGAGCTTAAGCAAGACAGCATGGAAACCTCGAAAATGGCCATTGACGAAATCGAAAAAAAAACATTTAAGAGGTTTTTACAAATATGTTGACGTCCTCAAAAACCAAGTTCGACATGACAAAGAGATTAAATAGTTTGGAAAGCGCATGGTCAATGCGGAATGAAATCGAACGACTCCAGATTTGAATCAGCGATTTTGTGCGTCCATCAAAGAAACTCAACGCCGAGGTTCATGGCATTATCAAAACTGAAAATTAGAACTTGTTTGATAAAGTCAATGAGGTAACATCCAGATTGCAGCTTCCTCGCTTAACAGTTAACGAGGTAGTTGCTTTACAACGATTACCCGCGAAACCCGTCAAGATGCCGCACATTATTATCCCCTTTGCCAGATAAACCATGAGAAAACAGTGGCTGCAAAACAGAACAAGCCTCGTCGTAATCAAGCCCGATGCGTTTATTGTTGAAAATATGACTGAGACAACTAGGGCACTCCTCTGACGGGAAAAAGAGTGGGCTAGAGGGGCTCGCTTTCGGTACATATGGCACTGTAATGAAAATATCTTAACACGAAGACAAGACGATGTCCGACCGATGGTTGCAAGAACCGAGGATCAGTTGTTCCGCCTTAGGAGGTAAACCAGTCGTTCTCCCCATCTTTATTCAAATACGTGGTTCTAACCTCTATGGCGAACCAAGGGCCACTGCTTCCAAAGAACATATATGCCACCTTGAGAAAAGAAGTGGTTCCTATTTTACTTCTTTTCATCTAAATGTACAGTCAGCAGTAAAAAAAGAACTTACCTTGAGCAAGAAGAGTGGTTGTTTGGGCTAGTTGGTTTGAGGTCTTATGCAATCTTGCGCACAGCATAGACGAGGATAACGCCTTGTGGTTTCCTGTTCTCCCTTTTGTACTCGTCGTTTTCTGTGCACAAGATTGCATGCGAAGTCACCTTTAACTTTTTTTATCCTTTTGGAGTTCCTTTGGATGTTATTTGTTGACCGAGATCTATATATATATATACGAACGACTGTTTCCGTGTTCGTCGTCCTATGACATTTTTTTGTTTGAATTGAACTTTAAAGCGTGGCAGAAAATTGGCTCTCCTGATGAAAAACAATCACTGACTGGGATCTTCTGATCGGAAATACATTTATCACTAAAGATCCGGAAGTATTGTGTTTGGGGAAAAAAAAAAAGAAGAAACATTTTCGCTGTTGTTTGCCGCCCAACAGATGGTGACATTTCGCCATTTCTTGAATTTTTCAAATTTTTTTTTTTTTGTGTGTTTCCTAACGGACGTCGCTATAACAGCATTTTCGGTGGTGACTTCGATATAACTATGTGTTCTGATAGCGCCACGAAAGGGAAAATAAAGATCCTCGTTGGCGTGAAGCTATGTATCAATACGACCGCCGATCGCACAAAATTTACTTTGCACCTAACAACTGATCTATATTTAATTATAACTAATTTTTCATAGATAGAGTGAAAATCGGAGTAACGCCAGGTTGTTTGCGGACGATTGAATCATTTTTACCGAAGTAAAAACTGATTCGGACCAACTTAATCTCAACAGATCTCTTGCTCAGATTGGTGACTGGTGCAAGAAGTGGCAAATGTTACTAAATAATTCAAAGACTGTGTTTATGACTATTAGTCACAAAATAAAGGCCTTAAATTTTCAGTATAGTATAGACGATGAACCACTGACCCGTGTTTTAGAATATAAATACTTAGGTGTTACAATTCCTCATGACCTTCGTTGGGGGGCTCACATCAACAATATCATTAAAAAATCTAACTCAAAACTGTGGCTTCTGCGACGAACCTTGAAGGAAAGCTCGAGTGACACTAAATTAACAGCGTATAAGTCGCCAGTGTGATCACTATTAGAGTACGCGGTGGAAATTTCGGATCCTCATGCAAAGTGTGACGTGCTAAAACTGGAGAGGGTGCAGCAGCTGGCTCTGCGTTTTATTTTTTCCAGGTTTCGCAGGCTGGACTCCCCCACTGAGCTGTAATCCAAAGCAAATGTCCCCTCACTAAAATATCGACGAAAAAATAAAAGACTGAAATTCTTGTTTATTATATGGAATAATCTGCTTTTGTTTGACAGAGATAGTTATTTAACACCGCATAAGTCGAGGATCTCTAGCAATGAGCACAGTCACACCCTACAACAGTACCGGTGCCTGAAGGACCGCTTTATGTATTCATTTTTCCCATTGACTATCAGCGATTGGAATCTACTCCCGCAGGCGATGGTTTCCTGTCATTCCTTATCCTCGTTTTGCGCTCGAATTGATATGTGCAATGATGACTTACTGTATTTGTAGGATTGTTTTTCTTGTGTCACGATCGCTAAATATTTGTACTTTGTGGTATTGTTGTAATTGCGGAGCGGTGATGCGTTGCGTAGTTTTTTTTG